GTAAAACTTCAGGTCCTACCGGCATTATCATCTGGTATTCTGATTAATTAATGGTGTTTTTGACCCATCAGGTCAAAGGACACATGTCGGTTAACTAATGCGTCACAATCATCATGGCGGTATGTGTTTTTCACTGAAGCGTTCGAGTGATCGAAAATAATCGCTCCCGATAAAACTAAGTCAAATTTTACGTTTATTTCATATAAAAAAAAGAAGTAACATTTTTTGCATGGCATGACTGAGTAAGAAGAATTATTGGTATAACTGGTGTATAACATCGTGTCGTGACTTTGATGATCGTTTGGAACCAGTTTTATTTGTTCGTTCATTACTGTAAATGTAAACGCTGATGGTATTAATAATGAACAGCAATTTTTTGTAGTAAATAAGATCATGAAAGTTGTGAACATATTCCTGGCTGAAACGTTTCAAATGCGTTTCATTTAATTTTTTACAATTTATTTGTTTGTTTTTAATAGTCTGCAGCATTTGCATTACGATTCGAGAATGTTTCATTTTTAAATTCAAACTCTTCTAAATTGTGAAACGTAATTTTTTGCACTGTGACTGAGCTCATTAATATTACAAAAGTGCCCAAAAGAATAGTGTTTAATAACACTGTATGAAGCAAATAAATATGTGCCACTTTTTGAAAATATATGTTGTCTGTTGTGTGGGTGTAAATGTGTTTTGGTCAACCTCTATTATTATGTAAATTATATGCAAATAATATGCAAATGAGTCCACCACACTGATTTAAATTCTAGGGGAGAACACTGAAGTCGATGTAAATTTGATGTGCCATCACTGTAACAGAAGTGCACATAAACTAAAAATTACATTTAATGTATGCTGTCATTAAATCATGACTTATTTTGACCATAGACCACACCTCTGTCATTAACATAAGCCTATGTTGACAATTTCTAGTGTTTCAGCCGCAGACAAAAGAAGGGTTGAAATGAATGTTCAATTCAATACATCCAGGACTTGAAATGTCCGGTCCACAAAATTATTGTAAGAAAATGACTTCTAAGTAACAATTACTTTCCTTACAGGAAACAGAACAAAAGCTTGAAGAAGAACGAATTAGAACAGAAAACATTTTGAGTGGTAATCCTTTATTGCAGGGTCAACAAAAAATTGATTTTAAAGTCAAGAAGAGGTAAGTTGCTACTTTAACAAAGTACTGTAAAATATGATGAAAAAGCGACATACTATTTTAGCGAATTATGGTAAAATGACGTAATAGCGTAATGTTGATTTAGCAAATCTCTCTTGTCTTTTGTTGATTTTTCTGTTTTCAAAATACTTGTCTGTCATCTGCCAAAACAAATACGCAGTTATCACCTCCATAAAAACAAAGAAAACTGTCAAAGTGTAATAAGGAAGTGCTCCAGATTATTA